AGAGGGTTCAGAGGAGGGCCACCCACTTGGTGAGAGGGCAGCAGGACAGGCCCTACGAGGAGAGACTGAAGAACCTGAACCTGTTCAGCCTCAGCAAGAGGAGGCTGGGGGTGGGGCCTGGTGGCTGCCTAGAAACTCATCAGGGGAGATCATCAGCAAATAAGTAGAGCCCTTTTCTCCCCAGCACCACCTGGGGTGATGAGGAACAATGGTAATAAGCTGATGGAGAATAGGTTTAGGTTAGAGATCAGAAGGCAATATTTTACAGTTAGGGTGGCCAAAATCTGGAACCAGCTTCCCAGGGAAGTGGTCCTCGTCCCTACCTTGGGCAAATTCAAGAGGAGGTTGGATGATCACCTGTCTGGGGTCTTGTGAACCCAGCATTCATTCCTGCCTGTGGCAGGGGGTCAGGCTAGATGATCTGTTCAGGACCCTCCTGACCCTACCTACTATGAAACTATGATTTGGGCTCTCATTTAAGTCAATGGAAAGTTTCCATTGACTTTAATAGCATCAAAGCCTTACAGCTGGGAAACTCCATTGCCTTCACGTTGTGTTCTCAGTGATTCCACACTGGGATTGCACAGCTGGGACTATGGGGCTCCATGACTGGTAGTTAGTAAATAAGTCTGCTGATGGTGTACAAGAGAGAACAGAAACCTGCTCACTCTTACTTAGTGGCAGGGCTAAAGGGAGAAAGCAGAAGCGAGGAGTTATTCCTGCCACTCAGTAGGGAAGATCTGACTGGATTCACATGGGGCAAAGAGGAATCAGGAGGTGCTCTCAGTTTATAAATTCACTATGCACGGCAGAACCACACTGTAGGAGGGCAAAAGGGAAAGAAAGAGGTGAGGCTGCAGGTCCCAGCTGTGGAGGAAAGGGCAGAGCTTGTGGGACACAAGGAAGCAGCTGTGAGTTTAACAACTTCCTTGGGATCAAGATAGACATTAAGAAGCCAATTACATTGTCTTTTGCACCTATTCTCTGCCTGTCACTGTGATCTACATATAGTTGCCCTTCTCCTCATTTTATCAGATTCTCCCATTGTTTCCTTTTATCAGCAAAGTAAAACAAATGGGAGAAAGGTGCGATGCTCAGTTCCTCTAACTCCTGTGTTTCTTCTGTAGGATGAAGCATAGCCTGGTAGCACAACATGTCTTTCCAGCCCTTCTGTAGCACAAAAACTAAGGAATATGGTTACTGAATCCAGCCAGACCCATTCACTACTTAGTAGCCTACGTGGAGACTCTGCTAGGGGAAGAGATTGACTGGGAAAAAAACCCATAATCAACCCCAGAAATAGCAGTGGCTTCTGTCTTCCTGTCTAATGCTCACTACTTGCTGACCCGGTGTGAATCAGCATAGGACCACTGAAGTTACTGGAGCTTAAGCATGAAGGGAGCTAGGCTGATATACATCAGCTCAGGATCTTGGCCAGTGGGTGCATCGACACATGAAATGAAGGCGATGTGATAAACTCCAAAGCAGTTTGCACCAGAGTACACTGCTCCCAGGCTCAGCATCTACACGTGCATCCAGGACAGCAGCACTGAGCCGCGGCAGAGCAGCCCTAGGCTGGCAGCAGGCTCAGGGGTCACCCCCAGGCTCTGGGTGGTGACATCAAGTGGTGGAGGGGCAGATTGGTGCACAAGAGTGCCAAAACTGCACAGCCATGTGGCTAGGCAGCAGGCGGGAGTTTGGCCTCCTGCTGCCTGGGCACAATTCATGCCTGCAGTCAGCGCCTATGCATGTGTTGAGTCGCACTTAATTACTCCACTGTAAGACAGTATAGCAGAGTTAATTAGTTTACTGTGCCCTAATACTAGCACACATATAGACTGTGATGCTTTAGTGTGGATCTGATTAGTGTACTCCACAGTAAAGTGTGCGTGCAGACGCCCCCAGTGAGTGCAACAGTGCCACAGGACAGTACACAGCCCAAGAGCAGGACAGAAAGTCCCTGCCACCCCCTGCTCACCTGGTAACACTGTGAGGAAAGCACTGCGAAAGCTGTATCCCATTGTGTTTGCCCCCAGGCAGATGTACATGCCAGCATCCTCTTCCTTGGCTCGTGTTATCATCAGTTTGTTTAAGTAGGAGCCATCGGGACGGGACCAGACCTCCCCAGTGGGCAGCACGACAAACTTCTGGCCCCCGACATCGATGGTGGAATTGTACTTGTTCTCAGTGCCATACTCTACCCTCTTCAGCCACTGGATGACAGGCTTGACGTCGCTGCGGACCTTGCACTGGAACGAGGTGGTCCCACCATAATCCACTGTGGTGTTCACGGGATGCGTTCCCGTGAGGATGGGCTTGGACCTTGTCCTCTCTGAAAATACAGATCAGATGTGGCTTAGATAAAGATTGCATTTATGCCTGCTTGTAATCTTTCACATTCAGAATCTGCAAATCCTTCCTTTGGCAGTACACAATGAGGGCCCTCGAATTCTTGTCTAAGGGGTCGTTCCTATCTTGACAGTGATTCAGCTAGCTTTCGAACCAGAGACACGGTGTTCATCAACATTAACTGAAGTAGCACGGTCCAGCCCCAAAACTAAGCAGACCCCTCCTGCTGGCTGTTGAGAGCAGTACAAGCTCAATACATAGAGCTGCATTTCTAGATGCTTATGCTACAGAACTATGCTAGGCAAAGTTATTTGGGTAAATGTGATATCTTTTATTAGACCAACTGAATAGCTGAAAAAAAAGTTCTTTGCAAGCTTTTGGGCACAGGCACCCTTCTTCAGACATAGGGAGTGCTTAGGGATGTGCATTGCCAGTGGGCAGTAGTGGAGGGCATGGGACTCTCCAACACTTACTAAACGAGCTACTAACCCCCCTTTGGCACAACTGCAGTGCTCCAGGGCAAGGCCTAACCATTGTTACTAGCCCTCCGGTTATCCCAGAGTAGATGAAGTGAAGTGAAGAGGAGGCAGGGCTGTGCTGCTGAATGGACACAGAGATGAAAGCATGATGCATGAGGTCCAGGGGTGGCTGCAGTCACAATTTCCCTTCCTACAAGTAACAGAGGGAACATGTTTCCTGAATCCCTTTGCTAGGCTTTCACAGTGCACTTCGGTCCCTGGGCCACATGCTACGTTGCAGTTATACTTTTGTTCTGAAACAGGGGCAATAAGTGCCCTGGGAAAGACTGAGAAGGGCAAACAGCAGTGACACTTCCTCTGGCCAAGGAACCATGTAACATGTCAAGTCGACTATTATGCCACAAGCATGCTTGGAGTGGACCATGGGGGTGGCCAGAGCAGCACATGGTCAGCTCTGCTTGGGAGGCAGGTACAGGTAATCTTACAGGCAATGATGGAGCCCTGCATGTTCTCTGCTGGAGCTTCAGGCTTTTGCGCACTTTATCCAGAGGGCTCTGCTGTGGGGCCACAGCTGGCTCAGAAGAGTTGCAGCAAGGGTCAGAAGTGTTCTCTATGGCAGCATGGCCTAGTCTCTCCACAGGTCTTCCAGATTGACCAAAGGAGAGGAGACGAGCAGTTCCTTACTCCACTTCCCACACTGACTGGTGGATGCTGGTGAATGAGGGCTGTGTGCCCTTCCCGTGTGCAGAACTGCTACTTCGGTGTGTGCTTCTTGCAATGTTCCACCAGGGTTGGCCAAATGCCTGTGGGAACCTGGCACTGAGAGGGGGGTGGAAGGGCTGGTCATGACTGAAGGAAGTTTAAATGTGGGAAGGATGGCTTAAGCCACCCCGTCTACCTCTATCTACTAATACTTTCTCTGGACTAACTGTAAAACCTGGAGCAGCCTGTTGGCTGAGGAGAGCTCCAGAGGCCTCCCTTGCCTCCCTAGCTTAGGAGAGTCTTCCCTTCCTCTAAGAAACCTGCCCCGAGCCCTACAGGATTCCCCTGCTCATTAGGGCATCAAGACATCACAACACAAAATTAGAAACATTAATATCCTAAATGAATCTAGTTCTAAATGACCACACTGGCCTACCATTATTATGCTATGAATATTTATGGTGTTCAACACCATGTCAATTTAAAGACTATCCTTTATTTTCAATGACACAATCTATTCTTGTGCTGGCATCAAAAAGTCCATATTTACAATCAGTTTTTAGACAGTCATGTCTGACATGCCAGAGTTTTCCCTCTCCTGGGCAGAGGGAAATGCCTTGGTCACATAGTCATTCTCAATAGACAGAGGGCATGACTACACAAGATGCTACTGCGCAGTGGTTACTGAGCATTTATTCAGTACTTGTATAACCAAATACTAAATAAATGCATAGTACCCAATTCATAAGCAGCAGTGGTGAATGACTTTTAAGTGACTCTGCTTGCAGTAGCCTAATAATACCGTGCAATAGTGTATTAACACTGTTGGTGCTGTGATGTGCTACTGCAGTATTATTTGGCTACTGAGCAGTTAGCGTCTCGTGTATATGCACCCACTGGCTTTCTAACAGCAACCACTGTTGGACTGGACG